GGGGGGGGGGGGGTTCATTGTTTTTAAAAGCATTTGTACTTTTAATAGCTGCTCACTTCTCATCGCTTTTCATTTTATTTTTTGGGTGTGATTAAGGTAGGTGAAAGAGGTTTTTAATCCTCCATTCTGGAATGTTAGTCAAATTTCCCGAGTATTAGCTCTTCTTGTTTTTGGACAAGGTGGGGGCAAGTAGCATAAAATCAATTCATTTCCGTCCATGAGCGTTTTCATTCTAAATTAGCATTTTTCACCGAGATTATGTTCATCTGATGGTTTTCACGTAGATGGGTAACACCTTTCCCGGCAAACAGCGTACACAGCTGCGTGGTTTATATGTGACCAGTCATCATCGTAGTTTTTAAGTTGGGTAAAATCAGTAAAATTCCATAGAATCTTTTTTTTTTTTTTTTAAATCAGGCAAAATCTCAGCANTTAAAATCAGCTGGGGAGCTTTTTAAAGCATGCCGGTGCCTGGGCCCAACCCCCAGAAATTCCAGTCTAATTGGTCTGGGGTGTGGCTAGTCTCTGGGATTTTTTTTTTTTTTTTTTTAAGAAAGTACCACGCAGAGCAGTTTCCACATCATCGCTTTCTATATAAATTCCACTATAGGCTGAAATTATACATTCTCGCAGCACAGATGGGCCGGTCTGTCGTTACGGCTGCCGGGGCCTTGTTGGAACACACAGCATATTTCAATTGTGGAGTCGACAATTTCAAAGAACAGAGGTCAGAATAAACAAGTTGCATCTGTGTATAGACACAGCCTCGTTCAATGATCTCCCCGCTCCCCGAAAAATCCCGGGGAGGAACACGAGCGCCTTCATTAAATTTTAATTTAAATTTTGGTCTTTATCTTTGCCTTTTGAGACTCCAAAGGACCTCGGTCAAAGGACCTGAAGTGTTTTAACTAATTACCAATTTTTATCTCGGTTCGCAGCACGGACCGCGTAGCACTAGATTTAAATTCAAAATCGTGGAGTTAGCACGTGTGACCTGAACAGCTTCATAATCTGTAGGATGTTCGTTAGTCTCTAAGTGTTTTATGTACAGACTTAACGTGAAATTGTTTTGAGACTTTTATGAAAAAAATCAGTTGGTAAATATTTTGCATGGTTTAAAGGTACTTTTAAATCCAAACCAAAAAAAAAAAAAAAAAAATCAACAGGTAAACTACAAAGAGTAGCCATAAACTTAAAAAAAATTNAAAAAAAAAAAAAAAAAAAAATTCAACAGGTAAACTACAAAGAGTAGCCATAAACTTAAAAAAAATTATCTTGCCAAGATAAAGTGCAGAATTTATTGGTCCCTATCACCACACAGGAGGGCAGAGCAGATTTACAGCCACAATAATTTGCAAATGATGATAACTGTTTATTTTGCGAATTTGCTCACGTCACGATGCTATCGGTTGCGAGGGCTCTTCTCCNTAAGTGTTTGTCTCTACGTTTCTAAATTCTGGATTCCTTTCCCAGCCCCAGCCCCAGCCCCCAGCCCCGGAGGCTGCTTTCCTGGCGGCGGCCCGGCAGCCGGGGCCACCGCGCACGTCACGGAGGAGGGCACGTCCCTGGACTGCATCCCGCGGGCAGGGTAACGCAGGGTTGGGCTGGGCCCCGTTTTAAGGCGCGGACCTGTTGGTGGAGATCTCGGGGAATGAAAGCAGGAGTGAAAAGTTGATGAAATTTGCCAGCCCCGTCGGGGAGCTGAAATGCCCCGTTTTTTTTAAACCATTGCATCCTTCCCGAGTGTGGGCTTTTAGCCTGTTGACTCCTGTCTGGGTGTCTGAATTGTATTAACTATTAACTGTATTAACTGTCTGGGGGGCTCTCAAAGAGGAGGCCAGAGGAAGCGGCCCCCCCTTTCTGGGCCAGCCTTAGAGTGATGGGGGTCATAGCGGAGAAGGGCACTGAGGCCGGGATTCAAATGGAGGCACCTCCTCCCTGGCCGTGTTGCTCAGGGGCCAGGTTCACCTCTCTGTGCCTCTGTTTCCTCATCTGCACAATGGGACAGAACATGTCCCTGCCCCGAGGTAACACACGTAAAGCGCTTAGCACATGCTTAGTTCGTACAGAGCCCCCCAGAAATGCCTGGAAGCACACGTAGGTGTCCTGTACTCCCAGGTACCTTGGTGGCTTCCAGAGGTGGACTGTCGCTTGGAGGACACGTGTCTGCTGGGGCTGGCCCCCTTCGTCTTTCCCCGAGGATGCTGCAGCCTGTGGGCCACCCTGGGACGGCCAACGCAGGCAGTGCGCTGGGGGGCCACCCAGGGGCCAGGCTCCTGGTCTCAGCACTCCGGGCTCTGGCCAGGCACAGCGCCGTGTCCTCGAGGCCAGGAGGCTCCCGTACCGCCATTTACAGATTGGAAGGGAGCCTACTGGCCTGGAGAGGAAATGGCGGCAACGCAGGCCCAGGGCAGGCAGGGGGCAGGGGCTGGCGGGAGGGAGGG